GAGTGAGTTTCAATCGACCATGCCGAATCTATTTCTCAACACTCTCACATTAATTCGAGAAATAACGAGAGCAAATATGCTGATTACCATTTTATCGACTAGTTGGAAACCGTCTATTCCACCAAATTTCATTATTAATCAAACTGTCCGTCTTGAACCAATGATTTATGGCAATTGTAGCTGTTCAATCTCATCAAAGTGTGTCTATGCATCCCGTGGAATGTTAACTGGTTGTTATCCGCTTGAAACCATTCTACAATCAACACTTGCTTGTTTTTATAATCAACAATGTATTGATCCAAGCAACAAGTTCGGTGCAATGAATCTTTCACTTTCGACACCAACTCGTTTTTCTCTTGATTCAACAATCGAATCAGTTGTAAATCAATTAATGATTGAAGAATTCTACAGTAACGCTTCGTATGACTCATATTTCAATCAATGCAAACCATTACTATGTACATATTCATATGCTGATAATAGTCACATTATCGAAGGAATTACAACTCTGATTGGTCTTTATGGCGGTTTATTGATCATCTGTCGTTTATTAGCGATGATTATTGTCAAACCATTTCGATGTTTGTCATCACGAGTAGTTCCAATCGGTGAACAAGTTCAACCCCCAGCATGAACTATTGCAGATTTAGGATGTAAGACATGGTAAACTGGTGAATTCATTCAAATCGTACTCATGTTCTTTTTTTCTTCATAAAAGCCTACCGATCATTGTAAATTTCACTATTTTCCTCATCAATAAATACTAACTATATAGCTTTGACGCTGACACGTATCGCAGCAAGAGGGGGGTTCTATATGGATTTCAAGAGCCAAGATTCTTTTTAAACAACGACGACTTTTGAAATTTCAGCATCTCGTTTTCCAACAAAAATCAGAACTGACGACATTTATTTCGCCGAAAAGAAAAACAAATTCCGTCATGTCGTAGGTGAGAGAAAAGGCGTCCACGTTTGCTTCAATGATAACACAAGGTAGAGTCCGTTATCTCACCGTTTACATCATACTGTCGTCATTGCTCTACGCAGAAGCTGCACATTCGTCTTCCAATAACCAAAATATGGCAAATCCAATACCTTTCTCCACGGTTATTAAACTGATCAAATACGGTATGGAGACAGTAGAAATAGTAACATCGAACAAAGAAACCTGTGCGTTAGTCGCTGATGATTTGGAGCTTATATACAATATTTTAAAAGAGGTTGATGAAACAAATAAATCATCCGCAGATAAGCATAGGTATTTCCTTGTAATGAAAAAACTTCATGGAATTGCGGTTCGTTCGAAGATCTTATTCGAAAAGTAGGCTGATGACCAATTGGCAGATTTATATATTCTCTTGACTAGATGTGTGAAAGGAAAAGGAATGGTTCGCATCCGAAATTTTCTCTCCGCAAGACCCATCAAGAAAGAATTAGAAAAAATACAATCGGAAATACCACTTGCAATCAGCATGTTATCTTTGGTCTTCCATGTCAAACAAAACGTCTGTGCTATCATATCGATTAGAATGTCGTTTACTTTCAGATTGTTCTAGTTTGGTCGTACTCGAGGTGGTCTACCAATTCCGAAAGCTGATGAATCAGTATTTGACAACGAAGATGAACAAACTACCGAAGGAGACTATGCCGAATACTATTTAGACGATGATACTGAAGATGAATAACATGCTGAGATTGATTTTTCTTCTGAATAAAAACTAAATTGAACTCTTTCCGTTTCAGATTATAATGTCTACGTTGACACCACGTCGAAAACTAGCTTTAGTCATAGGTAATAATGATTACCAGCGACCGGAAAGTAAACTTCGTCATTGCATCAACGATGCAAATGACTTGACTGATACATTAACTAGTATTGGCTTTCTTGTTCACAAAAACATCAACTTAACCAATCAACAAATGGTTGACGCAATTGCGGATTTCTCCCATAGAATCATAGACGGGGATTTAGTCCTGTTTTACTTCTCTGGACATGGATATCAAGTCGAACACGCGAATTATCTGATGCCCATAGACGACGAAAAGATCATCACTGAAGATGACGTCAAAGATCGTGCAGTTCCTGTTGAACGAACATTAAATCGATTGGCAAAACGGAATCCGTCATATGTGACCCTATTCATTCTGGACTGCTGTCGAGCGTATTGGCCGAAGAATATGAAAATCAAAGACGGTGTCAACGGAAAGGGCTTGAGTTTCGTCAATGCACCAGCGGGAACGTTTATTCAATTCGCTTGTGGAGCAAGTAAAACAGCGAGTGATGGATTAGAAACCGATCGCAATGGTCTATTCACTAAACATCTCTTGAAACATATTATTACTCCAAACGAAGACATCGTACAGATATTTCAAGGCGTCGCTGGTGATGTCTATGAGGAAAGTAGCGGCAGACAAATACCATTGAGTATTAATGGTTTGTTGAAGAAAGGTCATGTGCATTTAAGCGATTTGAGCGAAACAAAACCCAATCAGTTACATACGTCGAAATTCGAAAAAACAGATTCATTGGATACAAAATTGGAAAAGACAATGTTAATTCATAGTACTTCGTCGTCGAATATTACTGCGGAAAAAGTCAATACGCTGCCAAAGTCAGGTAAGTTTAATATGAAATGATCATGTGCTAGATGGTTTTGTGAACTTGATTTTAGCTTCGTTGGGTCAAATGTCCACTAGAGAAGCTTCAAACGAGTTGCACTCATCGGATTGTTGCGCAAATAATGAGTTGAATATGTTACTGATTGGCCGGTTAGCAAGTCGTGTATATCTGATTACAATGATAAAGAGTGTTGAAGAAATAGAAAATGGCAATAAAAGCGGATTCAACAAATTGGAGAACTTACTGGAATATCTTACAATCAATAAAATAGATGGGAAAGAGTTTCCTGTTGAGGATCGTTTTAACGCGACATTACTAGAATTAATGAATGGAAAAGAGAAAACATACGAAGCAATGAAACAAATTTGCCGTCATTACGAAGCAGTAGGTGATGTGAACATCGATGAAATCATGAAAGAACATGAGCAACGAATTGAATCATCTGCACATTACTTCACAAGGAAAGATCTACCAGATGACGGAAATCAAGCTGCTGCTCTCGCTCTATCATTTTACACTGGATCGAAAGGTCAGGTGATCAATCAAGGCGCAAAACTCATCGCTAATCATCCCGGAAATAGAGACACGGATAAAGCTGACGACGAGAAAATGAACGATCTAGCTCCTCTGGTATTTCATTTCTTCAAAGCAATTTTACACATTCCCTATTACTGGGGTACGGTGACATCTAATTATCAGCTAACAGATGATCAACTGCAATTATGTCAACCGGGCTGTGTAGTCACTTGGGTTCAGTTTGGTCAGGGCGGCCGAAATGCTTCAGCGGTGACTAGAAAGAAAAATACGAAATTTATGATTGATTCGTTCACGGGTCGTTCGATAAAGAAGTTCTCTCAAACTCCAAATGAAGACGAAATCGTATTTTTGCCATATTCGACGTTTTTCGTTTACAAACATGAATCTTCCCGTTTTGATGATGAACATACAATCTACATGCGACAGGTTGAATTAGGTTTGAGTCAATATTCCATCCTTTGGGTTGATGACAAGATTTTCACGAACAATAGCGAAATCAAACTGCTTATGGAGAACGCTGTGCGCGGCGGCTTCAACTTAGATGTGCATTTCATCCCACGCACATCGACCGACGACGCTTTAGCATTTCTTCGGTCACCGTTTGGTCAACGTTTGAAAAAACAGAACACATTCCGCATTATCACGTGTATGAATCGTAGACAGGAAAATCCAGGGCACAATGCTGGTGTGCGATTGATAAAATCAATACGAGAATTAGGTTTTGAAAATCATTGTTTAGTCTTTACGGGTGATAAGAAACGAGCGGAAACCTATGTTCAAACTGAACTGAATGCAAACGAACAAAAATGCGTTTTTGTGACGCATCATATCGATGATTTACGAAATTTTACTAGTTTTCAGATCTTTTCATAAATAGCAGTTCACTTTCTTCTAAGTATCAAATAAATGACAATACGAATACGAACATTCTATTAATAGAATCTGGAATTACTATGTACTTTTATTGAAACTACGAAGAAAGGTTAGAATATTTTCTTCTCGTGACCGTCTGTTCTCTGTTATCAATGATAATTAATGTCTTAGAATCCATTCCAGGCGCCAGTCAGGTAAGCGGGAATGTTTTTCACGCATGTCTTACGAAAGGAGTCAGTTAGATGTAACATTCCGGCGACACTCGTTCGGTAAGGTACGTAAAATCCAGGTAATGTGTTGAAGATGAATATGACAGCAAAAAAAATACGTAACTCAACATCCAGGGTGTTAACTAATTATTCCAAATTTTCATCATGTGGGGAATTCTTCTTCTGAATTATGTGCGTGTATGATTTTTTTCTTTTCTGTCTCGGCATAGACGTCCGTATCGATATGACAGAGTTCTTCTTCTCCCTGGTTTTTTTTCATTCTGCCGGTTTGTTATCACCTTCTTTTTCAATTACTCTTGTATACTCTTCAGGAGACATTTTTTAAAACAGTTAATGGAACTTGGCTTAACATCCTATTATATGTTTAAAAAAGTCTTTAGAAAGAAACGACACAGCTCGTCCATTTTCGAGAAAACGCATCAGACATAACGCATCGTGGAATCGTACTTTTTATGTTATAAGCTTTTGTCGTTGCATAAACAAACATCGACATCTATGACGAGATGCGAAGAAAAACATCATAAACATAATTGAGAAGAGAAGTTTTCCATGTGATCAATACGTCAAATTATGCGTTTTTTAATCGTTGACTTTCGATAGGTTTTGTGAGCTTTACTTCCACCAACTGTACTCTATCAGATTTTCGTTGTTGTGGATTTTCTATAAATATCTTCTCTGTTTGTTTCTATTCAATCAAACTGGAAGTCTGCTCGAATGCTTTTCAGTGCGTAGTCGTCATTAAAGTTTATTCACGCTTGAAAAGAGACTGTTTTTTAGCGTGTCCAGCGTCTGCTTATCGATCTGTATGTAATGAATGGATCGGCTGTCAGGCATATTTTTAAGCCTAAGGTCGGTACGGTAGTCGAAATTTGATCTGTCATTCTTATGCTATAGCGATGCGCAGTTTTTTATGTTTTCTCTTTTCGCCTCATCGCTAATTGATATAAACGCTTTTTCCTATGCATAGCCTGTCAGTTTTCCTGAAGAGTTCTATGAATTTCCCAATTAGTCAATCGGCAATTATTGTAACATCAAAATCATTAACTATTCAAATAATAACGCCTAGGCTAACACCTAAAACGAGCTCTTAATGAGAAACGATCATAATTTTAAAAAAAAGGCGATTATCTGTAAGATATTGTACTCGTATTCTGAATAAGCTGATTATTTCTTTGATAGAAATAAAAGAATTTCTTTATAAATGTGTGTCCTTAAACAAAATTCTTCTGGGTGAGGTATTCATTATTTCAAAAGAACTCAGATGTGTTTATCTCCATTGAACTCATTTTTATGTTCTTTTTCTTGAAGGGAAGATGATATTACATAGAAAGGCGTGCACATATTTCTTTTCTCTTCTTCCTTCTAAAGTTATATACGCGTCTATTCTCTATATTTGATTACCTTTTTTTCTTTCTCGTGGCGTTCATAATGTCCTTTCAGGATATGAACTCAACTTCTCCAGTTGGAAGATGGTTCATCAGCTTGGATATCTTCATGATCTTCTGCAGTTGTTTAACGATTCCTGTGACCTGTGTTTGTCTCGTAATCGTTATTTTCAATGAAGATTACCGGCAAATAACGAAGTTGCTCATTTCCAATTCGTGTGTGACAGCCGTGATCTGTGAAATTAGTTTATTATGGATGTACATATTTGCACTGAGAAATGATTCAAGACAAATCTATTCCCAAGATGTGTTTTGTACTTTCCGAGCTTATTTTGGTTACTCGTCGTGTGCCGCGTTGAATTATTCGTTTCTTTTAACCGCTTTTTATCGCTACGTAACGGTGAGATATCCGAATTATTTGCTTTGTCAGTCGATTCGCTTTCAAATCTACATGATTTGTTTCTCTTGGATCATCGCGTATGTTTCGTTGATAGGGCTCATACGAAGCAACGAGCTCATCTACAATCCTCACAATCAAATATGCCAATTACTTATTCAATTTACATATTCAGTTCTCTATTCTCTCAGTTGTATTTACATGATTCCAATATTGTTGATTATAATTCTGTATTTTCTATTGGTGAGATATGTTCATGAGGTGAGCAAACGTGTCACGCCAGTGAACACATTATTCCGTCTTCGAAAACAATTGAAGTTATTCCAGCAAACAGTTATTGTTTCTATGATATTGTTAGCACTTGGTTTACCGCCCGCAATATTTTTACTTATGTCGCCTTTCACTGAACTACCGAAGTATCAATATCGAATCTGTTTTTTCTGTATCAATATATCAATAACATCAGTTATGATTGCCCTATTTCGATTCAATATACGTCGTTGAAATTTATTTGTTAGGAAATAAACCAAAAAAAAAAACACAAATGCGTAGTGTAAAGTAAATGAGAATAAAAAAGTTTTAGTGTTTTTAGAAATAGATTTTGTTTCTTGAGAAGGAAAACTGCGAGGGTGTAGGAGAAACTTGAGAATTTTTTTAAATACCCAAACACGCGCATACAATGTTAGATGTTAAGCGTGGGTGGTAAGAAATGTAGTTCACTCAATGTCACTTTATGGTAACGAGAGTTGCATATTTGTTTCGTTTAGTTTTAAAAATCCAGCGCGTACGAGCTCTTTAATAGCCACGACGACGGAGACATCTTGTTTAGATAAAGCATAATCAGCGGCTAGTTTTGTTATAAGACTTATAATACCAACAGCTGGATTTAAGTAAACAAACACTCCACCTACAATCACTGATCCGAGAAGGCCACCTGCACTGCCGGAATTCACATATGGCGATTCGTCGTGTTCCATCGTTGGTTCTTCCGTGTGCAAGTATCACATGTGCATATTTATCGCTTTGATTATCTTCGATTGTAACTTCTAACTAAGGACCACTACCTAATTCCATTGATCACAATGCTGTTTGTACCTTTGGATAATCTGATTTACGTCGAATAAGATCTTGAATTTGTGCGAGTGATGCATCAGAAATGGCAATTAAGTTGGTATCCCATTTGATGTCAAATGTAGAAATATGACGATACACATCCAGAAACGCTTGTAATTTGTGAGTTCCTGGAGCAGCCAAAATATTCAATCCGGGTAATACTTGAGTAAGAGACATAATTTTAATTAACAAAAATCAGTAAGATATTGAGGTCATATTTCAACTTGATAATTATCTCTTACTGGTAGAGGAACATCACTTTATATACTAGCGACTTGTCGCAGTGAGTTTGTTGGAAAACACTGGAAAAGAAAATTCCTTGTTGCTTTTCGGCATTTTCCAACATCCTCAAAAGAAGATGGCACAATGTAAGCCGGTTTAAAAATTTAGAAGAAATATGGAGTATTGATTGTCAAATATTTACCTAGATAATAACCAAGTCCTCTCTGTTCTTAATGAGTACAATTTATTCTTCGACGGGTTCGGCGGAAAATGTCTAATAGAAACAAAAAACTACCAAAAGGAGGAAATACTCCTATATGGAAGCTCTTTTATTCCTTCTCGGCATATCTAGTCAAACCCAAATTTAGCGTATGACAATATAGCCTATTAATGTGCTGAATTATTCCGTCAACAAGTAGAATATTACAGTAGTTATTCGTCTTATGAGTCATACGTATTCAAAAAGCTGGGGAAAACCACAGGACCAAGTGTGTCGTAATTCTGAAGTGAAACAATGTAAACTGACATCTCTATGATGAAAATCTGCTGAGAAAAACGAAGGATCTTTGTTATCGTTGAAGTATTTAGTGCATTCATTCAAGGATATTTTCTGCACTTGATAATTATTAATAAATTGCATTTATGGTTATCGATGAATCTTTCATAATCTTGACTAATTTAGAATTCGTTGGTTTAAAATAAAGCGACGTCAACGTGCTATGGAATATACCATTTCTTCATTGCGAAGTAAAGTTGATTTTGGAATAGATAAGAAAGTATTATATTTCTTCTTGCAAGGAGATTGCGCGATATTTTTAAACTGCATTTATTTGCTAACTTGTCATAAAGGTGAGTATAATAACAACGGAGAGATGCCTACAACTATTTGCATATAAATCGTAAATCGAAGACGGCGGTTGTCGGTATTTGTAAGGAACGTTCTCAAATGGCAACCGTGAGTGAATATAAGAGAATTCAGATAACGATCGGTGGTAGTCCGTTTCTGTGTGTGGCAATTGATCCAAATATGCCTTTGTCTGCTTTACGAGCTGCCATTAACCAGTGTCGACCCATAGGAAAGCAGCAGCTCTTTTTAGATACAGATAATTATCCAATTGCGAACAAAGATGAAGCGACGATCCGTATCGAAGAAATCGCGAAGGATGGTAAAATGATGTTACAAGCCATAGAACAATCGGATGCAAACAAAACTTTTTTAAAAGAAGGTACCAAACGTATATTTTCATCTGCTACCACTGAAAATTTTGACGCATTTCCTTCATTTGATGTACCGCTGCGTCCGGTAACGATGCCGGGTAACGCATCGTCAGCAATGCCGTCAGGACGAGCGGAGCAGTGCCTCGAAACCTTTGATCGTAACATGTGGACAACCGTATTTCACAAGTGTAGATTGTTTAAAGGTCTACTGTTTGACAACGACATATTGAAACCTAGCCGCTACCCGATCTGCGAGTTGGGTAGAAACTTGACAACCTCAGATTATAACTCTCATAGGACATCTCGAGTTGAATCCTATTTGACGAGTAATGAACGACAAAATAAATTTATACGAAGCAAACTCATCAAATTAGATGCCAGCTTTAATACTCCAGTTGCGACGTTACATGCTAGTGCCACCAATCATCAACAGCAAACAGAAATGCGTGGGAAAAAAACATTATATACAACTTGTGTATGGAACTTTCCACGAGTTGACGTGTTTCTGTATGCTGAAGAAGAGAACTGTCAA